GTTGTAGCCTTTTAGATGCATGGCATGCCCGAGACCTCTCATTGCATACCAGGAGATCAAAAGGAAAGTCCATGGAAAACAGCAGTTAAGAAGAAACCTTAAAGGAAGTCCAATAAGGTGAGGCATGAATGTAATAATGATAGCGAAACAGTGAAAGGCAGCAGTCCTATTAGCAGTGGATGTAAAACCCTTTCTTATTATGGATCGAATTGCACATAATCATGCATTTCTTCTTTATTCATCAGACTAAAACGGAAGACATTCATCTAAGAAGGCTTGCAATGTCAATTGTTGGCTCCTAAAAATACAACCAAGATAACCTGTCGCTAAGGCAAAGTGGAGTTGGTTGCTTCCCATTGTAAGGAAGCTCTCTACTTTGACAAAGTTTTAATAGAGTTTTGGATGGAGGAGGGCAAAGTTGGGCTATTTATGAGGTTTTTGGAGTTTGGTTTAAGATAGGTCTTTGCAGGCTTGATTACAATCGGGTAATGAATTACGATATAATGGTTTAGGATTGGTGGGCACAGCCAGGCAAGGGTTTTGAGGTGAGGGTTTCACAGTGTTGAGAATAAATAGTAAACTTTTATTTCCCTGGGCCAGAGCTTCCTGGAATAGATGTGCTGATGAAGAGAGTGGAATAGCAAGGCCACGTTAACAAAGACGGCCAAATAATAAAGTCACCACCATGCAGATGATAAGCTGTCGGGGTGTACGGTCTTGGCTTCACACAATCTAATGGTGAGGACCAGTTTGGAATCCAAGAGGGGCATAATTTGAGGAAGGACAGGTAAAGGTAATGAAAAACTAGGACTGACATTGAGTTTAGCTAGAATGATGCTCATCCCCAGTGGGTGTGGAGGCCGGGGGGAAGGGAGGGAGGTTGATTGACAGTTCAATAATATGTAAAGTATTTGTATGCATCTCTCTATTGTTTCCTTTACATGCACTCTTCTTCATTAATTTCTTTTGTTGAATACTGAAGTTTTAAATTAAAGAATTATTTCTATGTGCTGCTTAAACAACAGAGAGAGCGAATAAATGGACAGGGAGGAGGTGACTATTAATGCTCACTGCCAACTGTAGAAAAATCCATCAAATAGGAACATGGGAACTTTTTTAAGTAGGAGCGTGTAAACTTTTGTGAATATGACCCTGTGAGGGGATCTTGTAAATCTGCCCTGTTGTTCCTATTGGATAGTCTTTATAAAGCTCCTTCTTTTTGACAATATTCCTTTAATTCTCTTTCTAATAATCTGATTCATGGAGGGTCACATAGCTATCAGGAAGGTTTCTTTTGGTACCTCTTCTTGGTAGCTTTTTATGTCCTTTTATATTATTTTAATTTCAGACCCTGTCTTCTGTTCCTGGGATTCCTTGGACTTCCTGATTTTCACCAGGAAATATAACCTCAGCTGTGGGTTATTTCTGAGATTTCTCTGAGTGGGGCCCCTAAGGAGCAGACTGATTACAGCCTTTTAACACATAAAGNAAAGGGCCGGGCCCCGCTTTTCTCCGCCTCCTTCCCCCTCTCTGCACCCGGGTCCCCCGCCGGGCGGGAGGCGTTCGCTCGGGCGGAGGCACCGAGTGGAGAAACACCTAACAGGTGTGACTGCGAGCTGGTGATGGGCATTCCCTGTGTCGCCGGAACCAGGGCCAGGGCTGGTGGAGACGAGTGGCTGAGTGCCACAGACCAGGGGCTGGGCCTGACACCAGACGATAGTGCTGTATATTTAATATCCTTATTCAAAGCCAGCTGTGTCCCAGTCACAGAGAATAAACACGAGACTCCACGCCCGCCTACCCCAGCGTTCCCCTGCATCTGAAATGTTGCCGCGGGGCCTGGTCCACTTTTTCAATCTCTCTCTCTGGCCAGTAGTCTGCTTTTCTCCAGGCCAAGGACGGAGATCGAAGTCTCTAGGCATTTATACAGTGATTTGAAGCCAGTTGGGTCGCGCATTGCTGGCTACCATGGAGCCTCATAGCAAAAACAGCATCTTCGCTTACACCCCAGCCCCGCGTTCCTCCCCTGGCAGAAGTAGATCATCCCAGACATGGAGAGTGAAATAGAGGGCGAGGATTTTTTTCTTTTTTTTAGGTGGAGAGGGTGGGGAAGTCCAGAATTTTGGTGTGTTGGGCTTTACTTTTTTCCCCCTCCATTTGTGAATCAGGTTTAGACTAGGAAAGAACCTTAGAGGTAAATTATACTGATTTACCCCCCCAAAAGGTCATGTGTAGGCAGAAACTAGATAGCAGTTCTTATCTGTTACTAGATAAGGACATCAGACGTTCCCTTGATAGGTGGGTTTCTGAGAATTTTTTTTTTCTTCTGGAGAAAACATTTTTCTGAAACATTTCCTCCATTTCTACAGCAACTCCACTTGTATAAGGTCAAAGCACTGATTTTTAAAATTTTTTTAGCTTTGTTATCATGTGGTTTATTTGCAGACTTCCTTTGGCAAATGGCAAAAGTCAGTGGGTGGCAATTGTCATGCCAGGAACAGAAACATCAGGTAGTAGTAGGCTCATCAAACCTGCATCAAAACCAGGGTTTCTTGCCCAAGTGCCTGAGCAAGTATGATGAAGAGAATAATGATGTAAACATTTTCATGAGCACCTACTACACACAAGATACTATCTACACTGGGAAAATAAAGGGTTATATAAGATACACTAAGAGGTATATAATCTAGTTGATATAAAAACTATCATACCTGTGTAAAGCCCACTTAAGGTTATTATTAATAATAAGTATGGTCAGTGAGTAACACATACCAAGCACACCAGTTCTTTGAGTTATTATTTTATTAAATAAACTCAATCCTGGGCTCAATTTATCAGCTATTAAAAACAAATGTTCTGTTTCTCCATAATTGCTATGTAGGCAAGGGAAAGAACTTCATGATAATCGCATAAATATAGCCACTTAAATGTGCATGCACTAACTTGCAAGATTAAACTTGGATTGTTTTCAAATAGTAAATTCAACTTCAAGGGCCTAAGTGTCCTATTTGCTCTACTTTTTCTTGAAGGTGTGAAGCCAACTTTGAAAGGTCTCATTCTGTCCTCCAGTCTAGTTCATCTGAGGGAGGCTTCTT